GATACCAAAATACAAATAGGAGAAAGACACATAAATATTTACATATGTTTAAAAAAAAAACACAAATATATATTATATATTATGTTGACTGTAGTAGTGTAAATAGTCCTTCTTCTCAATAAAAAAATCAGACAGAAGGCTATAATTTTTTTTCCTGAAAGATCTGATACGACCGTGTCGGATTTTAAATATTGATGACGAGGCATAAGATGAGTCATCAGTTTTAGCCACATACTGTATGTAAGTAATTTTGTTCAAAATTTACAAATTTGAACTTTCAGGATTTATTTCGTATAGCCCCGATAGCTTTCAGTAGCACTTCATCTCAACGTGAAATGTAGGTCATTTTGTAAACAAAATTTGGCCCGAGAAATCAGTTCCGAGTATTTTGAAATCGGGATTATACTTTGCGCGCCGTAATTTTCGTCACACTTACCCTATTTCAGGAAAGCAAATCACGTAAAAGGAATGTAAATAAAGCTAGGCCGCTTGATCAGTTTTGATGTTCCCAGTTCCCACACAGTTATCTGTACATCACAGCTTTCTGCATACTACACGGAACGAAGATATATATACACTTGAATATATATCGTTTACCGAGTCTCCGCCAATGTGGTAAATACTTACAAGATTTCGGCGTGTGTGTAGTTGAAGTGTGTGTGGTTCTGGTCTACTTTGGCGCGACGGGTAGCTTCATTTATTTGAATTTCTGTTTTCACCGAAATTAGCACATAGATTATAGTATAAGTGTACGAATACTGTATTTTCATACAAGACCTCGGTCCTAGCACAGGTAGAGTGATATTTCAATGCAAAGTGAGGTCGAACATTACGTCTTGACGAGTCTACTTGACGGGTATAAGGACATATATGGCAGAAAGAGTTTATCTCTCGGCTCGGTTTTTAGCGAGGTGGAGAACAGCATATTCGCTTGGAGTTGCATTCAACAACGTGTTCAGAAAGGACTGACCACGCTACCTTTCTAGAATACTCATACAACCCATATCATAGACATAACTCAATGCATCCATCTGCACAACGCCAAACACAAACACATACACAATGACATACAATAGGAATGGTGCGGACTCTGGCACTGTCACAACAAAAAAACACGGTAGCGACAGTGAGAGTGACTCGGATAACGTCGCGACAGATTTAGAGTACTACCGATGCCCGCTGTGCTTTCATAACGTGCCTGTGGGTAACCTTAACATTCATACGTTGGGATGTCCGGGGGTGTGTGGAGGTACTACATTGGAGAACGGCGAGGAGGTGTGTGCATATTTGAGTACGATTGACTTCAGTGCCAATGTGTCGTGTGGCACATATTCGATTACGATTGACTTCAATGTGACTATGGTGTGAGGGATATTTACGATGTTAGTGGGATGACATGTGTTGTCGGGAGGTAATATCGTCGATTGATCGTAATGTTCATATGTCTTGTCAATGACGTTTAGTGGTTTTGTTTCTGGCGTGGTTTGTCGAGAATGTTTCTTGGTGATGGTAGAGTGACCTAGTTTACTCATAGATTAAGGGTTGTTACAGTAAGGTCAACCTTGTTTGATCATGGCATCTACTGATTCCGAGATCAAAGTGTCTGTATCAATACACCACCTAATACTACAAAACTGGGGAGGCATGTTGTTGATATCTGTCGAATTTGAGTATTGTCGATAGTGTAATCTTTCGTGTCAAGGTGGAGAACAGTTGCCATTCTTGTGTCCTGTGATCATCCGTCTCCTAACGAGGATCCGTATTGAGTGTGGTTAATGGCTTAGCTGCCGTTTTTGAATTATTGCTGACTTAGTGACATAGTGACATCGTATTTATCTTCAAGTATGTATCATATATCTGCTTTTGGAGATGAATCTACCGGCAAGCGTGCTGAATAGTGATATGATCCAAACCGTTTAATGTAAGCTGGCCGGTATTAAGAGAAAGCTATGAATCAATGGTGTGTGGCTCAGTTTTGCATCGACCAATGTATATCGGGCTGCTTTACGTTTGCGTCATTTGGGAGTGTGGTGGTGGATTGTGATATCAAGTCGTTTTGATGCAGGCCCATGACGTTCATGCTGAGAGGTTGGACGCTATAATCCGCACTTCAATGTCATCAAGTCTTGTCATATAAATACGAGTGTTTGAGCTCGGGTCTTTGGGCTCAGTGTATTCTGGGCTTGCACGTACCGTCATATGCGTAATATCGTACCGATATATGCGTACTTTTGTACCGATATATGCGTAAAAACAATGATGTACCCTTTTTTTCTCGGTAACTTCACCTCATTTCCTGTGACAATTTTCCTCCATCATATAACGCAGAAAATCTCTTCATCAGATGTTGAACCTGATTTAAATTCGAATGAGGAAACCGAAGTCAAACAAGAAGCAGAATCGGATAGCGAAACCGAAGGTATGGTTGCTTAGCTACTCTCTATAGTAGTGTAGGGTTTTGTATTCAGGTATCATTTAACAGCGACAACATGGTACGTGATAAGCACGTGGAACGGTATATAAGAACAACCCAAAGGTTGCTACCAATGATGTGCTTTGTCCCAGGTATTTCTTTGTGTGTACGTACAGTCGGGGATGTCTGCTTAGTGCTTGCCCCTACTATACTCCACTCTTTGAATACCGACACAGACGTGTACGCACTGTTCTCATCCATCAAGTCATTATCCTCAACGACATTGTTGCAACCACATGAGCGTGTTCGAGTGTTTGTTATGGATGACTATAGCCACAGAATTCTATGGTCGACTGAATCTGCCGCGTAAAATTAATTCTTTGTGGTAGTACTGTAATTCGTGAATGATATTAGTAAGGAGCACACACATATAGCAGTGACAGCGTGTATTCTATGTACAGGTATATGTACATTCCTTTCAGTACACAGACGACACACACAGGCACACATACATATATACTCACACACAGGCACACATACATACACACACACATTTAAAACAACAAGCATAATTCACACGGCTCGCACATCTTATCCGTATTCACCCATTCATGGCTCACAGACACACATATCCCCGCGGGCACGCTCATACCCACATGCTCATGTACACACACGTGTTATACAGAGCATAGCAAAGACAAGACACGCGGCTCGTGTGCAAATGCATGCACTTGCGAATGGCATTTACCACACATCGCACGTACTCAACCGGCATTCAAACCCGTACACCGCACTGTCAGACCATTGTGACTACGGCTACACACGGCCGCATATACCTCCCACTCCACCCAAGCACGAGCGAAAACCGCTACGACTGCACCTGGGACAGGGGAGTGGACTGTTGTCCGACATTCACGAACACCTTTAGCTACCAGGCACAGTCAATCACAAGTACAAGCACGTGGGCAACTACGTGTACCAACTTTAGCATAGGGTTGGACTCTTAAGCCACTAGGCGTTCTCAGACACATGTATGTCAACACGTTCACGTATATCTACAGTTCGAACACAAACAGTACCACGGGAACCACGAGCATTTGGGGGATACGGACAAACAATAATACAACACAACAACACACGTGTGCACCCACAGAAAAAAGTCAGACACAAACGCAGTCATGCATACCTATAGGCAAAGATCACACACCCACAGAAAATGGTCAGGCACAAACACAGCCATGCATACCTACAGGCAAAGATCACACATAGACAGTACCACGGGTAAAAACACACGTCTCAAACCATGTATACCGAGTGCATCTGGTGGACAGGGCCAAAACTTTACACGTACACCTACACAACGCGAGCATACACTAACACAGCCACAACCCCAACCCCATTCACCTGCAGTAAATGGCCAGACGCAAACAAGGCCACGTATTCAGCGAGCACCTAGAGGACAGGGCCAAACGCAGCCACGCATACCCGCTGGACAAGGAAATACACAGCCACGTGCAAATAACGGGACGAATAACGAAACGGGTGCGCGTGTAGGTATTGATGTCGATGATTGCTCAGACTCGAGCGACGATGTGATCTTTGAGAGCGTTCGCATTGGAGCGGGAGGGAAGGGAAAAGCGAAAGCGCGGAATACCAATACCAATTTAATTGACTTAATTAGCAGTGATGAAGAAGGTAAGCAACCGCGGTCGGGTGCAGAGACAGGTCACGGAATTAGAAAACGTAGGAGCTCAGAGTCGGGCCACTCCACGTCCAGCGGTAGCTCTATTGCAAATGCGATGCACTGCAACACACGAAGCAATGACAAAGGCAAAGATAAAGTTGACGAAAGCGGTCCAAATAGCGAGGGTGGACGTAGGAGCGGTATAGATTTTGACGGTAGGCATAGTAGCAGTACGCACACGCGCGGTGGCAGTAGCAGCAGGCAATCGAGCTCACAGAATAGTAATAGGAGTGCTCAGGTTGAGCATTCACAGGGTGCTAATAGTACCGGGAATACTAAGCAACCTAGCAATAGGAGAACCTCCGCGAGAGGTAATAGTGTGGATGTAGACATGGATGTGGAGATGAACGCGAGTGATACCGATTGCATCGATGTGGATGCTGTGGATAACGATTCTCTTAGTGACTGGCAAATGGTTAGAGATCGCTTCAGGTGCGCTATATGTAAATATTCATGTGATCTTTTTCATGCGATCGCATATAGCTGGCAAGGTGTCTTTATATGTATAGGACTGTGTGTCATGCACAATATATGTATATGTGTATAGCTGACCTTGCGTATATCTGTGCATGTGATTGTGTATCATACACAATAAATATACAAACACACACACACACACACACACTCACTTGCACACACACACGCAATAACACGCACACTTGCACACACACACGCACTATATATACATATA